GGATCCCGCCCACTGACGCTGCGGCACCAGGCAAACTCCACCTGCTCCACTCCTGCTGAACAGGTGAAAACAGATTTAAAAGCGACAGGACTTAGTGCTGCTGAGTCTTTATTATTTATTTTTTGCAAATTGAGACGTAAAATGTCTTCAGGAAACTTCAGTCCTGTTCTTTTCAAGCTCCACTGACTACCAGGATCAGGATGACCGAGAACCAGACAAATGCTTAAAGGTCAAAGGTTATAGTTCAGGTCGTTGTTAATAAAAATTGCATCAAGTGCAATCAGATTGGCGCAATATTATAAAGAAAAAATCTAGACAAGAAGGGTCACATTATTTTTAGGTGCTTCCAATACTTGTCAAGTTCCCTGACATTTCGTCAATAGACGTTTGTGAGCACCAAACGAGTTAATTATGAATCCCATCACTGCTGCATTGAGCTTCCCCTGATCACCTCCTGTGTATTTAAGTCCTGTCTTCCTTTGTTCGTTGTCACGTCATCTGGTTTTCCTCCAAGTCTCGTCAGTCATCAGTCTTGTCACAGTTTTTGTAGTTTTCCAGTTTATGTTTTTCAGTTCGCACTCGCCCTGTTCGCCTTTCCTAGTTTTTGTTCATGACAATCAGCCATAATAAAGGCTCATTTTTTGTTGAAAACGTGCAGTTCCTCTCTCAGCGTCTGCTTTTGGGTCCAGTTCACAAACACACCGGCGAACCCCGCCCTCACATCTATATTTAAACATTGTCTGACATTGTTTGACATGTTGAACAATTTAGCCACATTCATCTATCCATTTCATCTGGAGATAAATCAGAAAAGCATATTTATTTAAAATATCAGTTCACACAGTCCAGTTGCATTGATGTGTGTATACAATGTTATCACAAGTGACAGAACAGACAGTCACAACATAAAAATAAGACAGAAGGTGAAAAAGTCCCAGAATAATTTTATATGGATAGATATTTTTGTTCAGTTTTTGTACTGGTAATGAACTGGGACAGTTTCAACTTCACAAGATGTGCAATACAGTATTCGGTTATATGCCAAAATATGCTGATTAGGTTTTCTTACTTTTTGGGAGGAACCTGGCCCACATTCACCCGGACACAAATGACTTTGCGGGTTTGCATCCCCACAGAACAGGAGACATCATCTCCACGAGTACGCCCCACAGATGTGTTGGTTGATGGAATGAAAGAGTCCTCGATGCATTGTCCCCATGGACCAGTTTGCCAGTGGTAGACCGTACAGGGATGGTCATTGCACCTTCTCACCTCCTGCAGAGCACTGATGTTTGGACACTGGACTCCACCTGAGAAGCGAAAATTGTAGCACAGTTGTCAGTGGGGTAGTATTAGTGCTGACAAATGACCAGGACCATGACAACATGTACAACCATTGGAGATGTGAGCAGGACAGACGGAACAACTGACGGAAA